GCGCCGGGGGCATGTGTGTGCACCTGCCAATTGCTTAGGGCTGGCCTGGCCCCGGGCGCATGGCTACTTGTCCACCCGTGCTCCGGCGCGTGGCACATGGGGGAGGGGGCAGCAGCCCTGGGCGTGCGGCCCTTGAAGGGGGCACCAGCCCCGAGCACGTGGCTATGGGGGGGCCCCCACCCCCGGGCGTGCAAGTGTCCCAGCCCTCTGGCGCTAGGCAGGTGAATGGCCACGCCCCCTGGCGCCCGGCAGCCTCAAATGGTTGGGGACCACTGGTCTAGCCTACATCCAGTTCTGAAGACAAAGCAAGCTGCTTTGGCGACATGACAGTGTAGATGCAAAGGACAGTGTAGATGCAATAACACATTTTGTCAACAGAACTCTGTCGACAAAACCTCGTCAAATGAGGTTTACCGCCATTGACAAAACTGCTGAGTTCTGTGGACATTGTGTTGACAGAACTCATTGGCAGTCTAGACACAGGTAGGCTGTGTCTAGACTGGCCAGTTTTTCTGGAAAATCAGCCGCTTTTCCGGAAAAACTTGCCAGCTGCCTACACTGGCCTCTTGAATTTCCTCAAAAGCACTGACTTCCTACTGTAAGAAATCAGTGCTTCTTGCGGAAATACTATTCTGCTCCCGTTCAGGCAAAAGTCCCTTTTGCGCAAAGCTTTTGCGCAAAAGGGCCAGTGTAGACAGCTCAGATTTGTTTTCCGCAAAAAAGCCCCAATCGCAAAAATGGCGATCGAGGCTTTTTTGCGCAAAAGCGCATCTAGATTGGCCACGGACGCTTTTCCGCAAAAAGTGTTTTTGCAGAAAAGCGTCTGTGGCAGTCTAGATGCTCTGTTCCGAAAGTGCTTTTAACGGAAAACTTTTCCATTAAAAGCATTTCCAGAAAATCATGCCAATCTAGACGCAGCCATAGTGTCTCGCATCTCACCTCCTGCACATCTTTCCTGATCTCTCCTCCTCTAGCCCATACGATGTGCTGAAGAAAAATCTGACTTCCCCACACGTCCCGTTCTTTTGTTGATTTCTCCACCAACTTCCTCTGCTATTGTTCCATCAATCCCAGGGTACATCTAGACTACATGCCTCTGCCGACAGAGGCATGTAAAATAGGCTACCCGACATAGTCAATGAAGCAGGGATTTAAATATTCCCGGCTTCATTAAAATAAAAAGAGCTGCCACGCTGTGCTGGCTCAGCTGATGGTCGGCACAGCACGCGAGTCAAGACGTGTATCGGTCAACAAGGGAAGCCTTTGTCGACCAATCCCTTATGCCTCGTGAAACGAGGTTTACAGGAGCAGTCGACAAAGACTTCCCCTGTCGACCGATCCACGTCTTGACTCGCGAGCTGAGCTGACGATCAGCTGAGCAAGCACAGCGTGGTGGCCATTTTTATTTTAATGAAGCCGGGGATATTTAAATCCCTGCTTCATTGACTATGTCGGGTAGCCTACTTTACATGCCTCTGTTGGCAGAGGCTTGTAGGCTAGACATACCCCTAGTTTCCTCTGATACCTGTTTATTAAAAGTCCCAGAGCACCGAATTATTAAAGGTCCACAAAAATCGCAGCCCAAATGAACTGTGGGAAGGGAGGGGGTCTGAAACCAGAGACGCCTTTGGGCAGTGCAGAAGGTGCTACAACCCTTAGAGCATCGCGTAGAACATTCCCACCGAATGGACTCTCAACGCTTCTTTTCTTTCTGTTTGCCACCCAGGTGGATGCGACGTCCCTCAGCAGCAGGTGGGTTTGTGAATTGCTCTGCAGTGTGCTGGGGAAAGCTCCCAACCCCTCTAGCACTGGAGAGTCCCCGACACTAGCTCTCCTCCACCTCTGCCTCCCTTTCTGTTCCCTCCACCCCCCCAGACCTGGGAGTATTTAGGTTTTACCAGAACCCTTTAATCCCCTGGGGAAGGTGGAGAAGGCACAGAAAGGACAGGGAATAAGAGAGATGCTAGAAACTGTCGGTGCTATTTGGAGTTGCCTCCCCTGCTAACTCATATGTCCTCACCTGATCACTGGGCCAGTTGAAAGGTCCTTTCCTTCCCCTGGTGATAACTGGCGTCCATGGGAAGAAGGCAGCCGGTAATAACAGGAAATGTCGCGTTTAGGTATGAAGATGCCACATCTCCACCATCAGTGGACCCTGCGAGGAGCAGGAAGGACGGCGCCTCTTCTGGAGGGAATGTGGCTGCACTGACCGAGTTACCAAAGGAGAAAGGTATTCACGTTAGTCCCTACATGACAAGCAATTATTCTGAGTGAGGATGGTTTACAGCAGTGTGATCAGACAGCAGGACACTGACTTCTCCCTCGTTACACATAGAGCCTCTTAGCAGGGAAATGCTGGTCAGCGTCTCTGCTAATCCACCCAGGAGCTGGGTGAGACATCCATCGTCCCGTCCTCTGTCAGGACACAGGCGCAGGTGGAGGAGACAGGAGCAGCGTTGGCCCTGACGACACATCCTTTCCTAACCACTGCGATTTTATTACATTTCCCTCCCACAAACTCCCTTTTTAACTCCCCTTTTTGCTGCCCCTTGCTCACTCACTCAAGTCACCCAGCATTCCAGGGGAGTCAGCTGGTAGCATTTTGTATAACCGAGCCTATGTCTACCCAAGTGCAGAAAGTCAACCGAAGATACACAGCTCCAGCTATGTGAATAATAACATAGCTGTAACTGATTTACTATAGGTCAAGTTACCGTGGGGTCTACAGTGTGGGCGTTGATGGGAGCATCTTTCCCGTTGACTTCCCTTACTCTACCCTGAGAAGAGTAACAGGGAGGATAGGAGAGTGATCTGTGTTTGATTTAGCAGGCCTTCCCTAGACCTGCTAAATCAACCACCATTGGCTCAATCTCCGAGCTTGGATCACCCTGTGGTGTAGCTATAGCTTGGGAAGCAAGTGTTGGAAAGCTACACTGGAGATTGTTGGGTTTGGGACTGACAAGTGGGTGTGGCAGCAGGAAGGGACAATGCTCCGGGGCAGAGAGAAGAGGACAGATGTCTGAGGAACAGAAACAGGCTTCCATTTGTGTCCACACAGATGGCGACACCCCTGTGGTGAGAAGAAGAAAAGTCTCTCTGCCTGCCTCAGAGGAGCACGAGCCGGTAGGTAACGTGACCCTTCGAACGACTGTGGGGTGATCACAGAGCCTAACAGCCCGGTCCAGGAGCCCCGTAAAGGCCAACAGCGACTGCTGGGCATCTGCGCAGCCAGCCCGGCTCCTGGTGGGTGGGGGGAGATTAAAAGCTCGTTAGCCGGGCCCTAGTGTGGGGTGGGTTTGCCAGGGCCAGGCCGCTGGTTCCCATGGTGAGCTGTGCCCAGGGCTCCTGCCAGGCCTGCCCTAATCACCACACACCCGCCAGGGAACATGCCGCGCACTCACTACGTTAACTGAACCCTAACAGAGCAGCTAGGCAGTGAGGGAGCTGGGGAGCCGGGCGAGCTCCTGTCTCCTCCTCCCTGTGTCTCCCAGCACCCCACAGAGCTCCCTGGATCACCTGGTCCCACTGCCCTGTGGGGCTTAGAGGCTGCCCCTGGCTCCCTGCCTACCCCTCTCTTTGGTCTTCTCACCATGGATCCCACCCTCTCCTCTGCCCTTCCTTGCTTCAGTTTGTACAAAATGCTGCAGCAAAGTCAATCCCATCCATTTCCTCTCCCACCCTCTTCAGCAGCTCCCGTCAACCCGAGCTTCCAGCTGCAGCACAGGCTTATCCACCAAGGTACCTAGCTCCTGTTCTCTAGACCTTTCATCATTCTCGTTGCTCTTCTCTGGACCCTCTCCAATTTCTCCACCTCTCTCCTGAAATGCGGTGCCCAGAACTGGACACAATACTCCAGTTGAGGCCTAACCAGCGCAGAGTAGAGCGGAAGAATGACTTCTCATGTCTTGCTCACAACACTCCTAATAATGCATCCTAGAATCATGTTTGCTTTTTTTTCCAACAGCGTCACACAGTTGACTCATATTTAGCTTGTGCCCCACTCTGACCCCTAGATCCCTTTCTGTGGGACTCCTTCCTAGACAGTCGCTTCCCATTCTGTGTGTGTGACACGGATTGTTCCTTCCTAAGTGAAGCACTTTGCATTTGTCCTTATTACACTTCATCCTATTTACCTCAGACCATGTCTCCAGTTTGTCCAGATCATTTGTATTTGATGCAATCCATCCAAGTTTGGTATCTTCCGGAAAGTTCATAAGTGTATTTGTATTCTCATTAACCATAAAATATCGTTCTAAACACCTAGGCTACATCTAGACTGGCATGATTTTCTGCAAATCCTTTTAACGGAAAAGATATTCCGTTAAAAGCATTTGTGGAAAAGAGCGTTTAGATTGGCATGGACGCTTTTGCACAAAAGCGCTTTTTGCAGAAAAGCGTCTGTGCCAATCTAGACGTGGTTTTGCGCAAGAAAGCCCCGATCGTCATTTTCGCCATGGGGGCTTTTTTGCGCAAAACAGTTTTTAACTGTCTACACAGGACCTCTTGCGCAAAAGCATTTGCACAAGAGGGCGTTTTCCGAGCAGGCGCAGCATAGTATTTGCGCAAGAATACTGACAATCTTACATTAGATTGTCAGTGTTCTTGTGCAAATTCAAGCGGCCAGTGTAGACAGCTGGCAAGTTTTTCCGGAAAAGCGGCTGATTTTCTGGAAGAACTGGCCAGTCTAGACACAGCCAAGCTGTCTGATAACAAAACTGGGATCAGCTGAGTGTAACTGAAACCAGGACGAAAATATTACCTTCTCCCTGCATGGTTTGAATCTGACATAAGCAGCAAACAAAAACCACAGTGGGTACACAAACAAAACTTTTAAGGGCAGCACTGTGCCTTCCCCCGCAGCTACAGCAAACACAGGGAACGAACTGCACAGTGACCAAAAAGGGCAGCTGAGCTCCTCCACCCCCCAAATAGAGGCAGGGGAGAGCAGGGCTGGGGGTATGAAATCTGAACATTTTTGTCTCTCTCTCCTTCTCTCCTAGGAGGATGCAAAGCGTCTCACTACAAGGTGGGTTTGTCTCCCTGCTAACTCTGATGCCCCCTTTGAATTCCTGGATTGCAAGGTCCCCTCTCCCCTCCCCTTCTGCCCCTGGGATCTGTGTATCCCTGGATGGAAAAGGCAGCGAGTGATGCCAGCGAATCTCTTGTTCAGCCCACAGGATCTGAGCTCGGTGGGAGCAGCCCTGGAACCTGGCTGGAGAAGACAGGACGGAGTCTCTCCTGCAGGGAATGAACCCTGGAACTTTAAGAGCGCTGGTGCCAACGTAGGACTCGGGGCTGTGCTTTGCCTTGGAATAGCGGTTGTAGTGTTGCTTGCCTGTGTGATGGTTTGGGGCATCCATACATTCTTACTAAGGAACTAATCTGTGTAAACAAATGTTACCACAAAGCTCTTTAACCCTCCCTCTTGAAAACTGTATTGCCTCTGGCGTGGTGCCCGGCTCTGATGGCAGCACCGCTGCCAGCTGCAGCACAGAAGGAAGGGTGGTGAAGCGCAGTGTCACCTCCCTTCCTTCTGTGCCGCTGCCAATGGCATCTCTACCTTCCAAGCCGGGTGGCCAGTGTCAAGTATGGGTTCTCTTGGCCAGGCCTCGCACGCGTAGCCGAGATCTACCCAGCAGTCTCACCACCTCACACAGGCAGCAACAGCATATCAGCCAGTAAAATGAAGCGTATCAAAGCCAACACCATATTTGGGCATCATACCACACCCATACCACCCACAGAGCACAACACCAAATATGGCAGAGCACAAATAACACCAAATATGGTAATAGAAAAACACCAGAAACATAAAAACCCTTGAGCCCTAAGCTCGGAGAGGACTCCCGAATATTGGAAGACGGAATCTGAGTCTGGCTTAGGACTGATCACCCGAGGCCGCCTCCCACTCGCCGAATCAAGAAAGGGGTGCACGAATCTTGAGCATGCTCCGATTTCTTGTGTGTCTTTGTTCTGCTGTCGTTGCTGGATTTGTGAGTATTTAATTTACCCTTAGGCTGTGTCTAGACTGGCAAGCTGTCTACACTGGCCGCTTCAATTTCCGCAAGAACACTGACGATCTCATGTAAGAAATCAGTGCTTCTTGCGGAAATACTATGCTGCTCCCGTTCGGGCAAAAGTCCTTTTTCGCAAAAGCTTTTGCACAAAAGGGCCAGTGTAGACAGCTCAGATTTGTTTTGCGCAAAAAAGCCCCGATTGCGAAAATGGCAATTGGGGCTTTTTTGTGGAAAAGCCCGTCTAGATTGGCCACGGATGCTTTTCCGCAAAAGCGTCTGTGCCAATCTAGATGCTCTTTTCCACAAATGCTTTTAACGGAAAAGCTTTTCCATTAAAAGCATTTGCGGAAAACCATGCCGGTCTAGACGGAGTCCTACTGTTTGTCAGGTGTGTTTAAAAGAGACAGGTTTTGAAAAGTGTATAACTGAGTTGTATCTTTTACCCGTTGCTGTTTGTTAGTGTGTTTAAAGAAACGGTTCTTGAAGAGTTTATGTATGTGTAACCCTCCTGCTGGGTAGGCCTGGCAGTAACCAGGGCTGGTTCAATATCTTGGGGTCCATCTCACACAGAACCGGCTCGAGCCCCCACCCAGTAGCCTGGGAAATTCACACACCCCTGGGTGCCTCTGAGAGGCAATGCTTCCCCACTTGCAAGCACTGAGTCTGAGTGTAGGAAAGAAACATTTAATGAAACAGAGAGGCTGTGTCTACACTGGCAAGTTATTCCGGAAAATCAGCCACTTTTCCGGAAAAACTTACCAGCTGTCTACACTGGCCGCTTGAATTTCCAGAAAAGCACTGACGATCTAATGTAAAATCATCAGTGCTTTTCTGGAAAAACTATGCTGCTCCCGTTTGGATAAAAGTCTTTTTCCGGAACACTGTTCCGGAAAAGGGCCAGTGTAGACAGCACAGTGTGTTTTCCGCAAAAAAGCCCCGATCGCGAAAATGGCGATCGGGGCTTTTTTTGCAGAAAACCGCATCTAGATTGGCCACGGGCGCTTTTCCGCAAAAAATGCTTTTGAAGAAAAGCATCCTGCCAATCTAGACGTGCTTTTCCGAAAATGCTTTTAACGGAAAACTTTTCCGTTAAAAGCATTTCCAGAAAATCATGCCAGTGTAGACGTAGCCAGAGAGAAGTCATACGGCATTAACTTGAGGGAGACACCACAGAGTTCATAACCTAAACATGAGCTAAGCTCCCCCCCAGCCAAGAATCACCTGAAGTCCAAAGAGTCCGACATCCCAAAAGTCTCTGTCCCTGGTCTGTGCCACCCAGAGTCCCAAAGTTCACCCGCAGGGTTTCACCTCCCAAACTGGGTAGAAATGGGGGTGGAGAGATAGATGGGGGGCACCTTGCGACGCTCCACCACGCTCCACCAGCTGTCTCATCCCTCGCCTCCGGACGCTCCGCTGGTCGCCTGCCGCAGCTCCTCACCTGCTGCCACCGCTGGTCGCCACTCCTCGTCTGATGCCGCTCTGCACCACGCTGCTGGTCACTGCTCCTCGCCTGCCACCATTCCACACCACGCCACTGGTCGCCGTGACATGCCACTGGTTGCCACTCCACGCTGCTGGTCATGGCTCCCTCCCCGGCCACGTTACGCCACCAGCCAGTGATTGCCACGAGCCACTCTGCTGGTCACTGCCACTTCACTGGCTGCAATGGGTCTGGCTCTCAGCCAAACCAGTGATTTCAGCTCTCCGTGATTTCAACTCTTTAGTCAGCAACTGGACTGGCAAAGGAATCCAGCTTCCACTGGACTAGAAAAAGAAAAGACTCCTCAGGGGCTGTGTCTAGACTGGCAATTTTTTCCGCAAAATCAGATGATTTTCCGAAAAAACTTGCCAGCTGTCTACACTGGCCGCTTGAATTTCTGGAAAAGCACTGACGATCTCGTATAAAATCATCAGTGCTTTTCTGGAAAAACGATGCTGCTCCCGTTCGGGCAAAAGTCTTTTTCCGAAAGACTTTTACGCAAAGGGCCAGTGTAGACAGCACAGTAGTGTTTTCCGCAAAAAAGCCCCGATCGCGAAAATGGCGATCGGGGCTTTTTTCTGGAAAACCACGTCTAGATTGGCACGGACACTTTTCTGCAAAAAGTGCTTTTGTGGAAAAGCGTCCATGCCAATCTAGACGCTCTTTTCCGAAAATGCTTTTAACGGAAAACTTTTCCATTAAAAGCATTTCCGGAAAATCATGCCAGTCTAGACGTAGCCCTAGTGTGAGCAACACTGCACTAGGGGATTCCTCTACAACCCTGAACTCCAACATGGCCAGTTGTTCTCGGCAGACCCTTTCCACAGATTTTCAGGGAAGTTTTCCACTTTGATTGGATGGAGTTTGGAGGACCAACTGGCGGTCGTATCTAGGAAAACCCAGATGCATGGTACGTCTGTCAAACATCAGCATCCCTGGCATTAAGTAGCTAGACCCTTGTTTACACAAAGAAACCTGTTACTTTTCCAAGACCAAAAATACTGTGTCTATCTACCACTTGTCTCAGACAGAATTTGTACAACCTTTTACTAACGCTGTGGTCTCCTGCCGGCTGCTGGTTCCTCCTTAATTTCCTGGAATAGTAAACATGAAAATTAGCTTCTGAGAAATACTACATCAATGCACAATTCTTCATTCTGAGGGCACAGCCAACCTCAGGCAGACCAAAATCAGGAGCCAAATACAAAAAATAATGTGATTGACTTAAAATAATGAGATTAAAGAGAAATAAACGATTTATTTTGGGTCTTTTTATGTGCTGGGGTTTTGGGGGTTTTTTTTTTCACTTTTTGCTTTTTGAGCCTTAGGGACACACTCTGGTTATGTTTTCTGCCTTTCCTCTGCAAACTCAAGGACTTGAAAAATACTTTTTACATGGAAGTTGAGGATGCATCTATACTACAGAGCCTATGTTGCCATAGCTGTACCAACACAGCCCCTTATGGCCCTTATCTACACTGTGTGCAAGAATTTGACATTTGCCTCTTTTGGTACGCCTGCCTCAGCTCTTTTATTTTCATGTGGCCCTGCTAGGTGGCACTGGCGTATCCTTTCTCTCCATGCCCCTGCTGATCTTGGCATACAGCAGAGGTGGCCAACTCGCAGCTTGTGAGCTTCCCCGCTTAAAGTGCAGCTCATGAAGCCTCCCCCACGGCTCGCGAAGCCGCCCCTGCGCTCTAGAAAAAGTTCCCTGGCCCCCAGCTCTCAGTGCTCACCGGGGCAGGGTAGCCATCTGGTGTGGCAAGCCAAAATGGCGTGACTTTTGGCATTTTTTCTGCCGCTGTTTTGGCTTTCTTCGTTTAGTGGGTTGGCCACTCCGGCATAGAGGTCTGGGTTTCTTTCGCTGATTCACAGTTCTGTGAGAACAGATTCCTCACCCCACACAGCAGTGGCTACATCTAGCCTACATCTCTTTTTTGTAAAAGGGATGTAAATTAGATGTATCGCAATTGCTGATGAAGCAGGGATTTAAATCTCCCCCGCTTCATTAGCATTAAAATGGCTGCCGCTTTTTTTCCGCACGGAGCTTTGTCGGAAAAGAGCGCCAGTCTAGACGCTGAGCTAAGGGATAAGGGATCTTTCGGAAAAGGCTTTATTATCCGCAAGATCAGCGTCTAGACCCGTTTTTTTCCGACAAAGCTCCGTGCAGAAAAAAAGCGGCAGCCATTTTTATGCTAATGAAGTGGGGGAGATTTAAATCCCCGCTTCATTAGCAATTGCGATACATCTAATTTACATCCCCTTTACGAAAAAGAGATGTAGTCTAGACGTAGCCCGGTATGTGTATTGCCAGGTAACACAAGGGAAGACACCCCACAGGAAATGTCTGTCTAGACACATCACACGGGGCTATGGCGTGGAATATCGCTGAGCCTCATTTGCATACCTAATGAGCCGCCATTTTTGCAAAAGAGGCTCTTGCTCCAGAAGGAGCTGTCTACACTGCCCTTTCTTGCGCAAGAAAAACCCTCTTACGCAATGCCGTTATTCCTGAAAATAATCAGCGTAGTGGCATTGCGCAAGAGGGTTTTTCTTGCGCAAGAAGGGGCAGTGTAGACAACTCCTTCTAGCTCAAGAGCCTCTTCTGCAAAACTGGCAGCTCATTAGGTATGCAAATGAGGCTCAGCGATATTCCACACTTAGCCTCATTTGCATACTTCTGGTGCAGGACCCAGGCCTGGAGGAACCAAAGCATCAGTCTTGCATGAACCTCTTATCAATAAACTAGGGAAATACACCCTACATGGGGCTACTATACGGTGGGTGCATAACTGGCTGGAGAACCATTCCCAGAGAGTCGCTATTAATGGCTCACAATCCTGCTGGAAGGCCAGAACAAGGGGGGTTCCGCAGGGGTCTGTTCTGGGACCGGCTCTGTTCAGTATCTTTTCAATGATTTAGATATTGGCACAGAGAGGACACTTCTTAAATTTGCAGATGGTACCGAGCTGGGAGGGGTGGCAAGTGCTTTGGAGGGAAGGGTCATAATTCAATTGTCCCTCAGAGCCATGGCCTAAGGGCGTGTTTGGCTCCTGCCCGCTCTTGCCCTGCAGCAGGTCATAACCCAGCCCTGCCACCCCTTTGTTCTTGGCATCACCAAGAACCATACTTCTTTCTCCATCCGCACGGCCTTCTCACCTTCCGTCCCATCCCACCTCCTGCACCAGCCTCCCCCCGGCCTCCCCTTCTCTAGGCTGTAGGCTGCAGCGCTTTACTATTCAGCAAGGAATTCCCGGCAAGGACTTCCCAGGGATGTGCCGGTTCTTTCTCCCACGAGTTTCTGTGCAAGTCTGGCTGAGGCAGAGAGCTAAACTCCCCAGACCTGTCTGCCTGGCATCCCCAGGGAAGCTCCCAGCCGGACACAGTCATTGACCTGCCCCACACCCATCCTGCCTGCCCATACAGAAACAGCCTACCCCATACTGGGGGGACAAGGAGCTACTGTGTGGGGAGCTGGGCAGGCCCCATTCAGCCCCCTAACCCATGGCCCCAGCAGCCATTGGTCAGGGAGGGGACCCCTCCACCCCGCCAGCAGAGCTCATATAGAGAGGTGCTGGGCAGGCGGTTCTGCCCCCACAGTGCAGTGGTCTAGGGCTCTGCCAGGAGGGAGCTGGTGAGCCGGGACTGCCCAGGCTGCGGGCAAAGGGCAGGGGCTGCCCGGCAGGGCGCGGAGGCTGAGTCTGACCCGAGGGCTGGGACAGGCCAGGAGCAGCCTGGGACCAATCTCAGCCCAGAGAGCAAGCCGGGGGGGGGGGCCCAGGGCAGGGGCAGAACCCTCCTGCCGAGCGAAATCTGAACCCTCGTCTCTCTGCTTCCCTCCTAGGCGGATGCACCGTCCTGCGGTGACAGGTGGGTTTGTCTCCCTGCTAACCCCCAGGTCCCCATTGAATCCCTGGGGCTGCCGTTTGCAAGGCCCCTGCTCCCCCCCCTCCCCTGGGAACCACGTGTCCCTGCCTGGGAAAGGCAGCGAGTGGTGACAGCCAATCTCCGGTTCAGCCTGCAGAATCTGACCTTGGCGGGAGCAGCCCTGGAACCTAGGGGCAGTGGACAGGACGGTGCCTCTCCTGCAAGAAAAGTGACCCTGCCACCAAACTTATAGGAGTGTGAAGGTAAAGGAAAGGGAGCCATCCCTACGAGAATGCAGCACTGACTGCATTCAGCGTAATCCCCAGAATCATAGGCCAGAAGGTTCCATACATAGGGGAGAGTTCTTGTCTCTGCAGGTAACCTGCCAGCCACCTTTCCCACAGGTGGGCTGGGGGTCTCAGGGACCTGCAAGGGGCTTAGACCGCAGGGATGGACATGGTATGAGCTGGGGTGAAAGTAAGGCATGCACCCCAATTTGCTGCTCGTTATGCCGGCTGGGGCAGCAGGCATATGAAAGTGGCTGGCTAAAAGCGAACCTCTCCCGCCATCCAAGACTCCGCCAGCCCTGAGCCCACTCACTAGTACCCTTGGCTACGTCTACACGGGCGCGTTCTCACGCAAAAACTCTTTTGCAGAAGAGTTCTTGTGCAAAAACTCTTCCACAAGAGAGTGTCTACACTGCCATGTGCTTTTGGGCAAGAGCATCCATGCCAGTGTAAACACTCTCTTGCACAAGAAAGCTCTGATGGTCATTTTAACCATCGGGCTTTCTTGTGCAAGAAATTCATGTTGCCTGTCTACACTGGCCTCTTCTGGAAGAGCTCTTGCGCAAAAGGGCTTATTCCTGCGCGGGAGCATCAGAGTTCTCGCGCAAGAAGCCCTCATTTCATACATTAGAACGTCAGTTTACTTGCGCAAGAACTCACGGCCAGTTTAGACTGGCAGCAAGTTTTTACGCAAGAGCAGCTGCTTTTGCACGAGATCACACAGCCCTTGAGATTTGTACCAGGATCCTGCTTTCGGTTCTGCTCCTCATCAGGGAGCAGGAAGAAAGCCTCCCAGTTACTTCCACCCATGGCTGAATCCATTGAAACATGCGGGAGCCGGGAGCGTATTTCGATGGAGCATTTTACTGGAACGTCTAAGTGAAATCACAGGACCAGAGCTCACATTAATTAGATTGCAGGGCTGGGCAGTAGCCCTGGATCCCGCTCTAGGGTGACTTCCAGGATCAGCACCCAAACGAGAGCGGCTTCTGTAGCGGAAATCATTGTAAAAACCTGACTTTCTCTCTCTCTCAGCCCAGCGGAGGCGACTCTGGACTCAGACACGGCCTATCCCCAGCTCGTCCTGTCCAAGGATCGGAAAAGCGTGAGATTGGGAGACACCTTGCAGGATCTGCCCGACAACCCGGGAAGATTTTGCTCTTCCTTTGCTGTCCTAGGATCCGAGGGCTTCACCTCAGGGAGACATTACTGGGAGGTGGAGGTGGGGGCTGGGGGAGGCTGGGGTATTGGGGTGAGCAAAGGGTACGTGAAGAGGAAATCAAGAAGCTCCTTTAATGCCAAGAAAGGGATCTGGGCTCTGACCTCTTCTCATCCACCTCCGTCTTTCTGTGAGACACCCCAGCTCATCGGGGTCTTTCTGGACTATGCAGGGGGAAAAGTGACATTTTTCGATGCTGAGAACATGATCCCCCTCCTCACTCACTCTGCCAAGTTCACTGGGAAAATCTTTCCGTTCTTCCGGCTCCGGACAAAATCATCGTATCTCAAGCTGTCCCCCTGCCGGAGATGACAGCGTCCCTGTGTCTGCTGAGCCGTTTCCTACAGACATTCTCACCTCAGCTGGCCAGTCAAACCCTTTGCCATTATCTCAGCTCCAACGTTACATTCCCCTTCCTCACCTGCACTGGGTTGTGAGTTACTCTTTGTAAAACAGATCGACCGCATTAAGCCAATGCAAACGTAACAGTTTTCCTGACAGTCGACCATCCGGTACAGTAGGGGGTAATAACTGTTGATGGGGACACGCCACGAATTTAGTAAGCAATCCAGGAACGTACCCTTTCAAGATATTAATGGAGGAGATGTGGGGTTGAGGATGGAGTCGGGGCAGACAGGAGTGTGGGGCGTGGGGCGTTGGTCAGTGAAGGTGGGGCTGGGAGAGGCCACCCCCCAACCCCAGCCCCACCCCTTCTGCCCAGGCCCACCCCCACAGGAGCCAAGTTGCCTCCCCGTCTCCCCCACGGGGAGGGCAGGTACGCATTCCCAGCCTCCCCGGCCCCAGACCACTGGGAGCGCGGCCGCTTTGGGGCAGCAACACTTCACCCCCAGAATGCCCACAGTCCCTGCCTTCCACGCCTCCCCATGCGTTCAGAGCAGATGGCAGGGGCCATGTGTGTGTCTCTGAACTGAGCTCTGTGAGCCCGGGGGTGGTGAGGAGGAGGAGGGAAGGGGCACGTCACATGCTGCCTGTTTTTTGGTGTAAAACATGGGGGCTGTGTCTAGACTGGCCAGTTTTTCCGGAAAATCAGCCGCTTTTCCGGAAAAACTTACCAGCTGTCTACACTGGCTGCTTGAATTTCCGCAAAAGCACTGACTTCCTACTGTAAGAAATCAGTGCTTTTTGCAGAAATACTTTGCTGCTCCCGTTCGGGCAAAAGTCCTTTTCCGCAAAAGTTTTGCGCAAAAGGGTCAGTGTAGACAGCTGAGATTTGTTTTCCGCAAAAAAGCCCCGATCACGAAAATGGTGACAGTTGCTTGGTGGGACAGCTGTTGCAAACACCGAGGTTTGCTCGCTCCTAGTTTTCCTGTCCGCAGTTCGCGGCCCACTCAGCATACCAGCGACCACCAGCCAGCGGATCGGGAGCCATTGGTCAATCCCGGAGCCTCTGACAAGGGATCCTGAGCAGTTTGGCCAGGAGGCTCCTCTACCTTAGAGTGCCACCCCTCAACCTCTTGCTCGTGCTGTGGGCTGGGGGAGAGACGGCAGAGGAGGGAGGAGCTGAGGTCAGACTGTTCTTCTCCCCCTGCCCTTGTCCACTATATATTTGAGAGAGATTGTCTGTCGGTCCAAATCATGTCAGAAATCTCAGCTTCCCTCAAAGCAACTCTGGAGCTGCATCAGCCAGGGAGAGACGTTTCTCACCTGCCCCAAGCTGCAGTGAGAGAGGGCTGGGGTCGTTCTCGCTCCCGGGGCAGCCTGAACCCTGAACCCCTCGCTCCCAGCTGAAGGCACCTATAAAAACAACTGATATTTTAGAGAGTTTGGCTGTTTCATTAAGAATTCCTAAACAGTAAGAGCCACCCTGCCTGTCTCCCCCCCAGGCCTGAGGGGAGCACGGGTGATACCCTGCCTGGAGTGCTGCTTATATGGCCCTGACGTGGCTTTGCTGGACTGCACGGAGAGAGAGCAACTGCTGTTGGAAACACCAAGGAGACCCCCCTATGCCATGTAGGGACTTTCCCCCCCACTGTGATTCACACACAGCAATTTCTTTTGTTTGGATTATTAACCTAGGAGCCGACACCACAAACACTTCCCAGGCTTTTGACTGTAACTATCTGAGCTGCCTCCTTGACGCGATTAAATCTCTTGCTGGCCATGTCTCCTAGGAGCAGGAGCAGGGTCTGGGCTGTAATCAAATGACCAAGGCCAGGAACGTTAATGACAGGACCCTAAGGCTACGTCGACACTGGCAGCTTCTTGCACAAGAACTCTTTTGTGGAAGTTCTTGTGCAAAAACTCTTCCACAAGAGAGTGTCCACACAGCCATGTCCTATTGCGCAAGAGATGTGCTTTTGCACAAGAGCATCCATAGCAGTGTAGATGCTCTCTTGCGCAAGAAAGCTCTGATGGCCATTTTAACCATAGGGCTTTCTTGCGCAAGAAATTCATGTTGCCAGTCTACACTACCCTCTTGTGGAAGAGCTCTCGTGGGGAGAGGACTAACTCTTCGGGAAGAAGCCCTGTTTTACAACGCTATCCTGTAAATTGACTTGCAGAAGAACGCGCGTACAATGTAGACAGCCGGCAAGTTTTTGCGCAAGAACAGCTGTTCTTGCACAAGAAGCCACCAGTGTAGACGTAGCCTAAAAGCATATTTCTAAATCCACACTGACAGCAGAATACCTGGCCCGGTTACTAACAGTTCTGGACACTGGGAACCGAACTGCAGTGTTACAGGCCCCACGTTTTGAAACTCCGGCTGTTTACTGAGAGAACTGAATGTTGAGCCCTGCTGTGACGTTACCCATTTCCAGACCGGATGTGATCTCCTGGCAGGGAGGAGCTGGGAGTCCCCGATCTCCAGGAGATGAGGAAACGCCAATACTGAGAACTGCCTGCCAAGGTAAGGGATTGTTAAAAGCGGCTCCAATACTGTGTTACGTGCCCGTGACAAATTCCACACCAGAGTTTTCACCAGTCCTGCCAGCCCAGTGGAAACTTTTACCTCTTTATTCACATGGGAAGGAGGTGGCAGAATTGGTTCCCTTTCTGGGGCAGGTGTTTGGTTTGTTTCTCTTTTCACACTCCCCTTTCCGGAGCCCCCTTTTTTCTGCCGTGCAGAGCGTGACTCCACACCGGGTTCTCTCTTTCTCCCAGCAGGTGACGGGATGCCGAGGGAGACCGAGAAGGAGAATCCTCAGCTGGGAGTCCAGAACAGGGACAGACTGGGAAGACCTGAGCTGAATGCTTTCCAGAGACGAGGAAAAACGTGTAAGACTCAGCCCAGGCAACAGGGGAAAGAGACAGGGCAGAGACAGGGTAAATCCACTCACCGGAGCCGAGGGGTTGGAAAAATCAAAGAAACAGCTCAGCAGAGAATCCCCACCGGAGAGATGACTGTAGGAAAAGCACCCCTGGGAGATCAGCCCATCTTACTCAGCCGAGAAGCCGCGTGGGAGAAAAGCATTACAGATGTGCAGAGCGCGGGAAAAGTTCTTCTGAGAGCACTACGCTCATGAACCGCCAGAGAATCCACACCAGAGAAACACCCTACACCTGTTCCCTGGGGCCTGATCTCTCCCTGCCACCCCAGCTGCTGGCTGCCCCCCGGTGGCCTCTTTCATATCACCTCCTTCCAAGCAACAGTCCCTCCCTTTGCAGGATACGGAACACAGTCCCATTCCCAGCATTTCCAGTTGTCCTGGTGCAGCCAAACCCTGGCCTTACTTTAAGTTAGGTGAGGAGGAAGCGGCCTACCCAGTTTGGAGCTCCTAGCTCTTACCATTTAGGACGTGGTCTTGAACAAATGGACTCACAGACAGACGCACTCTAAAATTTCTATATCTATGTAGAGAAAGAGAATCAGAAAAGTATTTCAACAGACACCTGACTCAGCCCCCTTTTGTACAAAATGTGGGGCAAACTTTCCACAGTGGGGGCAATTATGGTCTGCCTGTTCGTATAAAAATCCAGCAACATCACACTGGTTACTTGAGCTTTTCCACCAAACAAAAAATGTTTAAGAAATGAAATAACCTGACTTCACGCTACGCCTTTCAAGACACTCACTGCACCCAGTCCTGTGCTTTACTGCTCCTCAAGATTGACAACGGCTGCTGTCCATGGTGCTAGACCAGTGGCACACGCAGTGGCAGCTTTTTGAAACACCTTGCTGATGTCAGCCCGCCTGCAAGTCAGTTGCCTTTTCTTGAGGAAGTTATTGTGGATAACGTGCAGCTGGGTGACTTCCGAAGCAGAATAAGAAGGTTGCTGCTCAGCAAACTTCACCAACGTTTCCAGACACTGGGCGGCCATTGCCCAAGAGACTTTAGTTTCTTCACTATGCTCCTCTGCCTCTGAATCGAGGTCACCTGCAGGACAGGTATTTCTCTCCGGATAGACAACCATTTCCATCATTTCAGAGTCCGTCAGGGATTTTGCATCATCTAGGCCTTGATAGACTTTGACCCACTTTTCAAATTCATCATCCTTCAGTTTAGCGATCAGGTGTGCGGGGTCACCATTTTGAAGGACACCAACTATCTCCGGATGCGCTCTACTTGTTGGTCTTCTGTTAAAGCTTTGAAATTCTTCTTCCTCAGAGGACCCCTCTGCAAATATCCCTTCTGCCCACAATTTTCTCCACGCTCGCTTTAAAGTTGTGGGCTTGACAACAGACCAGGCACGAGCCGCGTTGAAGACTGCATCCTTGATGCTGTACCGGGACTGAAACTCTTGGACCGCCCCTTCAAAGTTGAGCAGCTCCCTCGTAAATTCCCTTCTGTAGAGGGCTTTTAGGTTTTGCGTAATTCCCTGATCCATGGGCTGAATGAGTGAGGTGACATTTGCAGGCAGGAAGATGGTGAAAATATTGCCAGACACAAGCTCTGCTTCAGAAGGGCGAGCTTGAGAGTCATCTAAAACCAGAATAACCTTTGTGTCTTCTGCCAGTCCACGTTCCTTCAGGTGGTCTTTCACTGCAGGAGCAAAGATATGGTGGAACCAGTACAGAAATATGTCCTTGTCCACCCATGCATTAGGCTGTGTCTTGTACTCCACCAGCTGATGAACAATACCCTTGAATGTTCCTGGTTGCTTGAATTTTGAAACCATTAGCAACTTGATTTTGTGTGTGCCAGTAGCATTTGCACATGTCAGCAGGGTGACGCAGTCCTTGTTCCTCTTGAATACAGGTGCACCAACTTCACCTGCACCAGCGAGGGCTGAAGATGGCAGGCAACGCCAAAAGAGGCCCGTTTTGGCAGCATTGTAGAGGTTCTCTGGGGTTATACCATGCTGCCCAATCAGCTTTTTAAAGAACACACAATATTTCTTTGCGGCCTCAGGATCAGCAGGCTGTTTTTCTCCAGAGATATCAAGTCTCCTGATACCATGCCGCATCTTAAAGCGTGCCAGCCAACCATCAGAAAAAACGCAGGGCTCGGTCATTGCAAGCTGCTGATACAAGTCCTTGGCCTTTTCAATCAACATTGGGCCGGAAATCGACGCTCCCTCGGAACGCTTCAAGGTTAACCATTCATACAGCATGCTGTCTAATTGCTCCAGTTTGGGTTTGTGCAAAGTCCGGCGTTGCTCCAAGGCTTGGCTCGTCTCGGCAACCGACACGAATTTCAGGAGATCTGCCTTCCGCGCCTTAATATCGTAGATGGTCGATGAACCGACACCAAACTCCTGCATCAACTGGCTCCTCTTCTCTCCTCTTTCCAGGCGCCTGATGAGGTCCAGTTTCTGGGTGATCGTCAGCACCACACGTTTTCTTTTCTGCCCTTTGGTTGCTGATGGTGCATGGCCAGCCATAGCTGTAGGATGGGTCAGATAACACCTGATTATGGCACTATATTACACACAGACCCATGACACGAACAGGCTTTACTGCCACAAGTCTACAAATGCAACTTCCACCAAGGCTGGGAAATGATGCTGGGGGGGCTATTGGAACGTTCCCGGATAACTGAATGGGGATTTGTGTTACCGTCCACAGCAGATGCCAGTTCACCGAGCTTTCAAGACATTAAAGGGCCAGATACCAAGGCTAGTACTATACTACACAGCTGCCCCCACAGAACACTTGCAGTGTGTGAACGGCCTCACTCGCCCTCCCTCAGGCCCAGCCCCTCTCACTGGAAGGAACCAGTGTGGCACAGAGATCAGCCACAGGAAGGGAATGACTTTGGGAACAGCGCCCTCCTTTCAGGGGTTCAGCCACAGGCACAAGGGGGACCCTGTCCCAGAACTCCAGTACCTGCCGTTCCTGCCTTGGCCCTTCCTCCGACACCTCCGGCCAAGGCACAACATGGGCCAGATGGTGGGGAAGCACATTGAGACCCTGGCAGTGGGAAGAGCAGCACCATTGGTATGTCCCTGACCCCGTGTCTCCTGAGAGGAGGTGTGGAGGGGACAGTCTCTAACACAGCTAGGATTTTGGGGCTCATACCCCTGACAACAGGGGGCAGGAAGCAATAAGGGACCCTGAACACCGGCCTCCCAGCCCCCTCCCAGCTTCTGATACCCCAGGGGACAGGAATCCTTACCCAGCCAGCTCACAGCCTCGTAATTCTCCTGCATCACGTCCCAGTAGAGGGCTCTCTGGCCCGGGTCCAGCAGATCCCATTCCTCCTCAGAGAAATACACAGCCACCTCCTCGAAGGTCACCGGCCCTGCCACGGCCATTTCCTGTCCCTGGCTCTGCAGGCCCTGGGCTGAGTTGGGGACAGACATGGACGTCCTGCAGCCTATCAGGGGAAGAAGGGCAAATGGAGACATTTCAGAAGGGACTTTAATCCTTTCCACGCCCCCGTTCTCCCTGAACTCTGTCCCTGTTGACACACAGGCTGGACTCGGCCGTTTTGGGGAAATACCCGAGTCTAGATATTCTACACGCAGCACACACAGATTAGATCCCAAATCCATATCCATCTCTCTCAATATCTAGCTTGAGTTTCAACATCACTGTGTCTGCAACAACGGGATTTGGTTCTGAGCACCCAGTGGTTCTGATCAACAAATTAAACACACCTGCTGAATGTTTACAGGATGGACTCCTACGACTCACAGAATTGGGGAGGAGGGGGGAATCATTAGATCACATACTCTGGTCTGTGTCACAAGCTATTGTAATTAATCCCGTTATCCCAGGACGAACCTTTATTCCCTCAGAGCATATTTTCTAGGAAGTCGTCGAGTTTTGCTTTGAAGACACTCAAGAGCTGGAGAATCCACCAGTTCTTCAGCCATTTGATTCAGCGGCTAATCATCTTCCTCACCAAACATCCCTGCCCCCTCCCTCGTCTGAATTTTTCTGGCTTCATCTTCCCGTTCTTGGTTCACACGGAGCCGTATCCTCAGACTGAGGAGCCACTGTGGTTCCAGCAGTTTTTCTCCGTGAACAGACTGATAGCCAGGCAGTTTTCGGCCTACTGTTTAAAAACAACAGAATATTTAATCACACTGAAAAGGAGAGATTTCAACGTTCAGTCTCCTCCGGGCTGTAACTTTTGAGCTATAACATCACACCTTTAGCATCATGCCACGGAGACAAACCCTTCATAAGGGGAAGACATAATGGGAAGTAGGAGTAAAAAAAAAACCCTAAAGTTAATTCCTTTAGTTTGAAATGTTTTAACTGCTTTTCCATAACAGTTAGGCATGCAGGGGGCTGCAGATACTCAGACACAAAGAGCTGTGACAGCAAGGTAGTACCGGTAGCCCTACAATCGGTACCAGAGCCGTCTTAACGTTTGACTCACATGTGAGTCAGTATTATAGTCCATGTTCTCATTGCTCAGATAATGCCTGTTTTGCCAGCCACTAACGAGCACGAGCTAGTCTCCTGTAGAAACACCAGGGAAAAAGCCAAATCCAGCCAGGTCAGCTCTACGCCAGAGACCCCACCAACGCAAAGAAGGATTATGCATTTTAAAATCCTGGATTCCAGCCACACAGAACGGTTGCACTGTCAGAAGGAAGAACACCAGTGAAATGGATCATACCAACAGATGGAGCCTACATAAAAATCTAGGACATTAAAATGTGCAATTAGACATATAAACAATAAAGTTGAAAACCCAACATTTAAATATGCAATACACAAAGTACAGTAAAACTCTGATAGTCCGGCATCCAATTGTTCGGCCAAGCGCTCCTGACCAGCTGATTAAAAAGCCTGTCGTTCAGCACACATGCTGGCTGTAACCAGAGGGAGCATAAGGTTGGGGGAGGGGGGGATCGTGTTACAGTAGGGAGAAGAGCAGTTTTGCTTCAGCGAAGGGGAAAGGGGAGGGGAGGGAGAGGAAGATCAGGTTACAGCACAGAGGAGAAGCGAAGAGTAAAGGGGAGGGGAGAGGGAGGGAGCTGTACCGGGAACTCCCGATTCTCCAGCAAATCTGATAATCCAGCACCCACCTAGGTGCAAAAGGTGCCGGATAATCGGAAGTCTACTATAGTAGAAGGGTAAAGTGTGTACTTCAGTCTTTGTAAACTGGGGAATTGCTTACAGAAATAAGGATTTTTAATATGTTTCAATTGCAAAAGGATTTTCCAAAGTATCTTGGAGCTTTCACATTTAAAAATCTGGCCCGTAGTGAACAGTTGGGATCCAAGATCTACCCAAGTGGTGACCTGTGACAAAGCGTTAATGTGCCAGGTAGAGGCGCAAAACAACAGCTAACAAAGGCCGTCCCCAGTGGAGGATGGAAGGAAACTGAAGGAGTTTTGATGCCAATTCAGGAATCTGTCAGCCTGGACATCACATGGTTGCAAAGAATAAACTTCTGTTGTGGGGGGGGGAAAGGAACAAAAATGGAAAATGAGAAACTGAAGCTGCGGCGTGAGCAGGAAGAGCTACACTAGAAACACTGGGTTGTGGGACTGCTCAAACTGCCAGCCACCGAATGCTTTCCGGGATCTCTGGCCACAGAATATACCGCGATGGCCGACAACAGCTCTGTGCACAACGGCAGTGGAGGGAAATGGGGAAGGGACCCGAGTAACGGAAATAAACAGAAATAACTTTCCAAAGGCACAGACTGGAAGGGATAAAAGGACACCACAGGATAAAGGCCCTGCAATTCCAGCAACGGGAAAAGCAGGCGCAAGACACATGCGAACTCCTCTGAAGCTTTAAGCAGATGCAGAAATCCACTGGGGATTCATTTAAACCAGTGTTTCTTAAACTGTGTTCTGTGGCTGCGGAGAACAACAGAACTTAAAGGGGCAGGTGACTTTTTTTTTTTTTTTTTTGGGCTCAACAAAAAAAACTTGGTGTTCCTCATAAAGATAAATGATTGTTTGGTGTTCCTCGGCCTTAAAAAGTTTAAGAAACACTGATTTAGACCCTAAGACCAGGTCTGGCCATTACAGTGTGTGGAAGGGGCTGTCTCTAAAATATCTCACTGTGTCTAGTCCCATTTAGCAGGCATCTTATCCGGAAGGGAAGAGCTGCCTTGTCCAGTCCCTGGGGGACACTGTGCCACTCGGAGCTCAGCACTGCGAAGCCGGCCCGGAGATGCCCTATCCTGGGACTGGGAAAAAGCTCCTCTGCCCCTCTATACAAACAGCTCCCAACTGCAACCTGCGATCACTTCCACCCCTTCGGCCCCCCGCTATACCTGGGTTTCTCCTCTGCCACTGGCTGGAAGGGCCTCTGCAGTTTTCTGAACCCTTTTGCCAGGCCTGATTTTGCTCCTTGCAGCCAGCTATGTGACACCCCCCACCCTCACCCGTGTGTTCAGTTGAGATCCTGCACACACACCGATTCCCACCCCCCACCGCATGCGATCACTTCCACCCCTTCGGCCCCCCGCTATACCTGGGTTTCTCCTCTGCCACTGGCTGGAAGGGCCTCTGCAGTTTTCTGAACCCTTTTGCCAGGCCTGATTTTGCTCCTTGCAGCCAGCTATGTGACACCCCCCACCCTCACCCGTGTGTTCAGTTGAGATCCTGCACACACACCGATTCCCACCCCCCACCGCATGATTTGCCCCAAGCAGCTGGGAGCGGGTGTCACCCAGGGGATGAGGGGGAG